GGGGGGGGGTGGTGGGTATGGCGATGGTGGAAGCGGTGGTGGTGGCGATCGCGATCACGACGGCGATCGCAATACTGGTGGTGGTGGGCGTGGCGATGGTGGTGGCGGTGGCAGGGGCGACAGGGGTGGTGGTGGCGGTGGCGGCAACGATGGCGACGGTGGAGGAGGTGGTAGTGGCGGCGTCAGTGATGAGACAGTTTCAAACGCTATTTTTAAAAAAAAATATTTATATTAAATAATTTTTAAAAATACTTTTAAAAAATCACTTCAAACACTCTTAGGGGCCTATTTTTTCTATTAAATTTAGGGTGTTAATATTAATCTTTAGATTAATTTTAAAGTAAAATTTAAAGCAATCTCAACCACAAATACCAAAAATCATTTTGTTAATCTTTTGAAATTTGAATTGTAAACAATTATATATATATATATACCACCACCATCACCACTACAATCGTTGTCACCACCACCGTCGCCACCGCCACCGCAACAGTCACCACCACCTCTGCCGCTACCCCCACCACCACCACCTCTGCCGCTACCCCCACCACCACCACCTCTGCCGCTGTCTCCACCATCGCCATCGACGCCACCAATACAGTCATTACTACCCACCACAACCATCACTATTTCCTACCATCACCAAGGGCCGCTCACCACCTCTCACCCCCACTACAAACCAATGTTTAAATTCCATTATCTTTTCTCTATGTTTTCATTTTTTATTACTCTGTGTCTTCAGACACAGATAATAATTAGTATATATATAAAATAAATCCAACAAAAAATATATGAACAATTCATTCCCCACCCTTAAGTCCGATCTTTGTCCTTCAAGACCAAAAAAATATTTTTTATGAGTCATCACAAAATCTGTCTAAAGCTAGATTGATACTATAATACACCTTAAAGCCCTTATATACAATAATATGAAACATACAAATTAAACTTAAAATCAATACCCTATGTAGTTCGTTTGTTTGTGTGAGGTGGTACACGAAGAGCAACCCCTTAAGCTGAGAGAAAATGGGTTGAAATCACTTTTAACTGGGAAGAAATAAATGCAGGTAAATTTAATTATTAATAAGGTGAATATAAAAAGAGTAGACTTAATAGTAGGAATAACCCCACCCTATGTCATTTTGCTTCTTAAAAGATTTTAAAAGTTGTACTTTGTCTCACATCATGTCCATAGCATGTGGCATGTCTACTTATGGAAATTGAAATGTTGTGCTATTTAGGATAAAATGCATATTGTTACTGTTTTAAAGTGTAAAATAAAAATTTTAAAATCTTTTGTGGAAAAGGTGTCGTTTGCCCCAAATTTGATTACTTCTCCGCCCAAACTCTCCGTTACTTTGAGATAATAACATACACAAAAAATCAAACGAACCAGTCGAGTAAAAGCAATATGTGTGGCAAGAATGGGCAAGGTCACTAATCCATGCTTAGTCATACACAAATTATGGTTTAAATATGTAGTAAAATTGAATGAATATCAACCCACGTAAATGGGCACTGGTTGCAATGGTTTATATGCTAATTGTAAGTAAAATACAGCAATAATAGTCAAATGCACTTGCAACATTTACGAAGCTTTATTCCAGATAGAGAATTGCCCTCAAAATTACAACCAGCCCAGAAAACGCTTGATGATACTATGGCGAAAACGTGCAAAAGCATACAAAGAAATAAAGCCTCACCTTCTGAACTATCATCACTAACCTGAGAATAAGAAATGCTGCAAACCAAACAAACCTCGTGAAAGGGAGAGGATATTACTCTCTCTATTCTGCTCTGGATTGGCCAGCACGGGATGAAAGGATGATACCAACAATGAGCCCATACAAAGCTAAAGCTTCAGCAAAGATAAGAATCAAAATCATTCCAACAAAAAGTTTTGGCTGTTGTGCATTTGCTCTGCAGAAGCACAATCAAATTTCAGAAGGGTGTAAGTCAATCCCAAAATGCAAGTTTATAGAATGTTATGCAGATGACTGCATTCGACAGAATACATGAGGAGGAGCTTTGAGCTGATCGCCTAAACAAATTTAAGCTTACAGTTGCCAAAGCCAAGCACTACTAAATAACATCCTGGTGCATTGGTGAAAAAACAATCCCAACGACAGACTACCAAGACAGGGCATGTAACATCCCAGCAAAGTTGTTAGTTTTCTTTTTAAAATAAAAACCTACACCATTCAGCAATGTGATCTGAGTGATGTACACTCACCTTCACATGAAATCCCCAAATGGGTCCATGGATCCACTTCCCTATGCATCCATATCGCCAAAACACAACATCTACATCTACATCTACTCTACTCTACTCTACTCCACTCAGCACAACACAACTCAACCAGTCCTGTCACAAACTCCAAATAACTACATTTTTAAAATCCAAATATTACAAGTTTGTTAAAGGAGCAGAACATGCTTCTTGACCAATCAAAAGAAGCATGGACACTTCTAAAAAAGGAGCTACTCCATTGTCGGACACTGACATTTCTTCCATACATTATGAAACATGTATGATGTAACTTGGATGAGCTGAAAATCTGAAAATAAATACAAAATTCTGATACATGGCACCTCTTGAACACACGTCATCATGTGATAAAAAACTCATTGCCGTGCTCTGACTTGCTTTTACTAAAGAAGCAAGTATCACTAAAAGAACCAAGATAAACTTTTGTATAGCATTTATGCTTTGGACCAGATATAAAAGGTAGGCGCGTGAATGGATGGAGGAGAGAAGTCATCATGTTGAACCCTAGATCACATAGAGCGGAAACGAAAGTGAAAGCGGTAAAATTAATGAAAAAACTTAGAGAGGGAGTGTATTGAGAGCGCCATATTTTATAGATATATACATGCATATAAGCAAATAAAAATATATTTAAAAACTAAATTCAATGCACAACAACTATGGGACATGTTCCATGTTTTCCCTATTCATGAGTTCTCAAAAGTGCCATTTCATGCTTCTTTATCATGGTTCAAGGTCGCGGTATCGGTCATTGACTCAAAGAGCTCTGACGTTGTGTTGTAGTATTGGGCGATAAGACCTAAAAGAAATTGTTGAACATAATGAAAAATTCAGGACATACCGCGACGTCGCAAAATTGTATCGGCCAATTCAGTGACGATTACTCAGTGATTTAGAATTGACTCTGATACAACTTGAACGACTCGACCAAGTCATGCTAGACACGAGGTTTATATGTATCGTGCAGCAATATCATATCGGTATCGGCCGATTCTTTGAACCATATTCCTTATTTTAGCGTTGATAATAAACCAAAAGTTAGAAACAAGGGCAAAAAGAGGCAATTGGAAGGATAAAGAAATTCCAAACAGAGAGAATAACCAATATGAGAGAGAGTCGTTGATAGTGAGCACTAAACTTCGGAGGGTGATGAAGTTCAATTGAGGACAATTTAATCCCACATCGAAAAGGCATGAGAAAATGGGAAGCTAAAATGTCTATAAGAGGTGGTCAGGGGTTTTCTACCCAACTGTTTCGCTGTACTGCGGCTCCACGTGAAGCTTTAGTTGGAAAGCCTCAATTTCAGGTGAGTAAAGTCGAGGCAATCATGTGTCAGCCTCAAAAAATATTCCTAAAAACAAAAGTACTTTCATCCTTTGCTACCATGTAGATTCTATATCTATACAACTGGGCATTACAAAACCATGTAATGCATATCTTCATCCAATGTCACAGCCAAAAAATCCATCTTCCATCAGTACAAACAGAATAACTAAATCACGAAAACCATAAAATGAAACAGATAATATCAAGTCAAATAAAATATTCAAGTCCAAACCCTACCAAAAATAACAAACAGACAATGGAGGTAGAGACTACCTAACACCAGCATCTCCGACGATGCCGATAGCCATTCCAGCTGAAAGCCCGGCGAGACCACAAGCAAGACCAGAGGAGAGGTGCGCATAACCATCGAAAAGGTAATACGACTTGGCCTTAGGGTTAATTCCGGTACTGATAATGACAGCGATAATCAAACCGTAAATTCCTAAAACTCCGGCCATAACCACCGGAACAATCGACTTCATTACCAGCTCTGGCCTCATCACTCCCATGGATGCCACGCCAACACCGCTTTTCGCGGTTCCATACGCAGCTCCCATACCTAAGGCAAATATCAAGTTATGCCCTAGCTCTCAATACTTAAAATTTTCATTTAATTTCTCTATCTATGATTGAACTAGGATAAATTCGGGTTAGGGTTTTGCTTACAGGAGAAAACGAGGGCAGCAGCGGCTCCGAGGAAGCCGAAGAACGGAGCAGTTTCATCGCCGCTGAACGTAGATGACATTTCTCGATTTCAATTGCGGGTTTATATGAAATTGAGTGATTGAATTGCTTGAGTGGAGAGAGAAATTTGGGGTTTGGGGTTTTCAATCTCTCTCTCTCTCTCTCTCTCACACACACACAACACACGTTTTACGGACTGTCAACGAACTTTCCGCGAAAGCCCGCTTAAATTAACAGAATGCATGATTGTTGATGGGCCTTTCATTGGGCTTTTCTAAGACCCAAATTGGTCTGGGCCCCTTTTTCAAGATCCTATGAGAACTCTGAAGACCATTAAATGGGAATCTTCAATGGCCCAAAGACTCCGTACCTTCTTCCTCAAACATTTCAGGGCATCTATGCTATTTCTTATGTCAAGGGTTCGTTGCTAGTGCTAGCCATGAAACTCTTATCGTTCTAGGGCATCTATGCTATTTACTAGCTTAGGGTTTGGTTACTTAAGTTTCAATCTAACAACTTAAAGAGATGGATTCTTGTATTAAAGGAGAATTTCTTTTATCAGGCCCCATGTTTTGTTGCCAAATCCAAGTTCCTTTCAACACACCCTTTTTTTTTTTTTCCATTTTTCTCAATGGTAAATTGTCCACCGTCTACCGATGGGAAATACAATTATATATAGCAGATTATACTTGAGTTATGTTCAAGTGGGTACCCTATGTGACGAACCTAGCTAGTCATGAGGAACTAGTTTTGTGCTTTTCCGGCATCAAGCAAACTAAACTATGCTTAACCTACACAACAATGTAATTAAATTTTTGGGTAAAAAAGGAAAGTAGCTAATTTTTACTATTATCATTGCATATGTCAAACTCATAACGCACAAAAATTATTGCAAAAAGTTACAATTGTCTCATCAATTGTGCTAATCAATTGTTGATATGATAGGCACAAGATAATTAATCTAACAGAAGTTATATACCTAAAAAGAACATGCATCCAGCTCCAGCCCCACGTTGGATTGTCAGACTATGAATTGCTTCTTAAGCCAATTAAGAGTGGGGGCCGAAAAATGAAGTGAAAGGAAATCTACAGAGGCATCACTAGAAAGGTAATCATTTGAGGATAGGGGTAGCAAAAGAAATGAAAATAGATCCTTGCTCAATGTCTTCCATTTGTGTGTAGACTTTTTCTTTCTTTCTTTCTTTATTTTTGATGTACTATGCTTGTTTGAGTTGAGTTCAAGTTTACTTCATTAAAACTCTAAAATATAAAATAATTTAAATTTATTCAAATTTCTATAAACTCATCTCGCATATAAAATGAATCCAAATATTGTGTAAGCGGTTATAAGTTGGTTCTCTTAGCTATAACAAATTTCTCTCTAAAAATAGTTTTGATTTCATTACTGAATAACTTAATCGATTCATTGCATTATTCGTGCTCTTTTCTCTTATAAATTTTCTTTAAAAATTAAATGTTTAGGGTTAGCTTTTTCATGATTGATTACACAAATTTTGGGGATTTTAGTTCGAGCATTTAGTTTTTACAAAATTATTTAAAAATTAGGTTTTCACTTTGATTCGAGTTTGGCTTGAATGCCACACAAATTTCTACATGAGCCAAGCTTATACAAGAATCTAAACTTGACTAGAGCTCAAACTCGAATTTAATTTGTCTCAGCTAAACGAGTTGAGTCCGACTCAATAGGCATTGTGTGTGTTGGGATAAAACCATGGATCTAAATCCTTTTCATTACACTTTTAGTCAATTTTAATCAATGTTATGTGGGTCTCCCATTTAGGGGTGCAATTTCGGTTGGGAACCGATTTCAATCCGAGCCTAACCCGAAAAAATTAGGGCTTGAATAAGAGTTTTTAATACTTGGGTTGGGTTAGGGTAAAAAAACTCCAATCCGAATTCAATTTGAGTTAGGCTCGGGTTAAGGCCTCGAATTCATGGGTTCAACCCAAACCCGACAACTTAAAAACAAATTATATATATATATATATATATATATATATATATATATATATAAAGAGCATTAGCATTTTTATTTTTGGTGTGAAAGCAGACGATCAATAATCGTGTACTGTTATGAAAGAAATATATGGATTATGTTTTATGAATTTGTAATTATGTTAAAAACTTGGTTGAAGTTATTGATTGTTAATTTGTGTGAATATTATGTAATATATGTATTAGGTTTAAAACAACAAGCCTATTTTGGGTTCTACCCGAATTAAACTCGAATTGAACCTGTAAAATAACCCAAAATCATTAAGCCGAATTCAACCTGAGCCCACCCAAATTAAACTCGGGCAATGCTCGGGTTGAGTTCCTCAATTCGAGGTATAGTTAGGATTAGGGTTAAGATTGAAGATTATATACTTAGGGTTAATTGTCCAACCCGCCCGCGTTGCACCTCTACTCCCATTCATATACAGTGCTGAATAATCTACTATTGAATAAAATTAAATGAAAATGTAATTGAGATGATCACAATTTTACAACCGTGGAGATTTATAGGAATGTATACGGGTGATATGCTTTGTAATACTTTGGGAATCCACAAACAAAGAGGCATATCTGTGAAATACAAGCAACAGATCAAAGCAGTCAATTCAAACGCGTTTTCATGGATGTGAATTTGGACCCTCCACTGAGACATAACAACTCTTATGAAGAACAAGAGGCAGTGTCGGAGCTAAGGCCATTCTGAAACCGCCATCATCATCATCATCATCCATGCCTCAGGGACCCCTCAGCTCATCTGTGACCATCATGGCATCTATTTCTTCTTCTTCTGTTTCAATCACTGGCCCATGCATCTTCCGACCCACTTAAGTTACGTCTAGAGAGTTCCTGTTAAAGTGACTCAGATGCGTATCCGAGTTCGTCTTGTTTGAATGATAGTGAGTGATTCATATTTATTAGTCTTGAAATCTTTGCCAATACAGCAAGCTGGTGAATGAATTTTTTATTCATTATTCTCAAGTGATAGTTTGAGTGGTAATAAAAATAGACTATAAATTTAAACGTCTAAAGTTTAAATTTTGACAGACTCTTGAAATTAGATCACTCTTTGAATTAGATTAGTCATGGTATGGATGACCCGTTTTTGACTGAATTGAAAAGATGATTAGTCGAGATATGCGTAAAACGGCTCAAACACTCCTGACTATTGAAAAAAAAAACCTTTTTATTCTTTTCAAAGATGGGCAATGGACAAATTGACAAACTATATATGTAAATATATGTGTTATCCACTTATTGTTTTGTTACGAACAAGACCACAAACAACCAATAGGGAAAAAAAATAGAATACACAAATAGACATAACTAGTTTGGTTCTAAAGCCTACATTTACGGGCGAAGTGCAATAGCAAAATTTATGTATCGGCAAAAAGAAATTACACAAATATTGCCTAACTAAATGAATTCAAAATTAGATGCTCCAAACTGGAGGCCAAAATTCCCACGAAAAATAAGTAATCTACAATAGATTCATAGAGCCAAATAACCTTTTTCCTAATAATTAATATTGTATTTCCAAATCTATGAAGAAGACATATTTTCAAAATGAGTCTCTTACTTCGAGTGGATTGCAGAACACCAACAACATCTTCATAATTTTTTTTTTCTTTTAAGTGTTCACTGCACAGCATGTTCAACAAAATTGTATTCTCTGTTATCTTCCCGTAGAGATGTAGAAAACAAGCACATGGACATATCGCAGTCTAAAGAAATAATTCCAACACGGTGAGAAGCAACTTTAACTGCATTTTCAAGGTGCCCATTGATTGAAGGTGACTAGAACATCCCTTGCTCTTACGTGTTTGTGTTTTGTACTTAATCGATATGTTTCTGATGGGACATTTCTAAAATACTTCAAGATAAAGACACGTGTCTTCGGTGTCACTAATCTTTATTATTGAAATCACGTACCCATCGGTTCACAAGTCCCTCTCCCCCGAGATACTTGTCATAGGGATCAAGTGGCATCCAGTACGTTTACGTACCGACACGTATCTCTCGGTCTGATATGGTACATCGGTCGCTCTATGCACCTCCCCTCTCGGCTCCGAGATGTACCAAACCCCCTCGGTATCGATATGTACCAACGTCCAGGATGACATTCTCTTCTCCTGCAGAGCTACTGATGTACAGGTCACTAGCCTAGGCTAGACTAGGTTAGCTATCATAACCTCGTCTTACACAATTGGTGTCAGAAGGCACAGGAAGGCAGGGGCCACAGCCAATGGGGAATGGACGCGTGGCATATTGTGTCACATCAGAGACAAAAAAACCGCATGCCCTTGCTGACACACGACTTGGGAAAGCAAGCATTTAATTACACCATTCCCTTGATGAGATTGCATTCAATGCGATAAGGCTCGGAAGTGAAAGACAATAAATGTCTCTAAGGCTGGACATTTATTGCATCCTCCCCGAGAAGAGCTCATTGAACATTCGGCAGCCCGATGACACAGCACTGGTTGCTCGGGATCCCGAGCAGTTAAAAGAAAAGACATTCCTCGTAGGAATCAGTGCGCACGTTGCCTGTATCTAATGATCACCTACTGACCACACTGACAGCAATCATGAGTATTTGAGATATAAATACTCCTCGCAAAAGGCAAGGTGGTATGCAACAAAAAAACCTTGACGACAATACATACTCAGTGTTTTCTTCTTCCTCTCTCTCAAAAACTGACTTGGCTGTCGGAGAGGATACGCCTGAAAACACTCTGGCGCCCTTCTAACTTGTCTTTCTTTGTTCCAGGAATCTTCCTGAGCCTTACTGGATTGTTTCGTTGATCTACGAGGGTCTCCCATTACCGTTCCAGGTTACCACCGGACCTCGTAGGCTGTTCCAAGCAGCATGGTTGATCATTTGACTAACTCACTCGAGTTCACCAAGGGAGAGATCTGTTCTCGTGTTTATATTGTACAAGATCCAGCACGCACAATCTGGCGCCGTCTGTGGGAAACAACTAGTTTTCCTAGTTTTTTCTCTATAAAGAACAGTGACCATGGTGAATACTCGACAAAAAGGGAAAGGTCCCCAGCAAAGAAGTCTCAAATTACAAGCTCCATGTCACCATGGAGGGAGGGATCACACTGATGGGAATAGAAATGCCTCTACTCAGTCAAGAGGGGTTACCCCTCAAACCAGTATGGGAATCA